TGGCCAGCAGGGACAGGGAAGGGATCTGACCCCTGGACTCGGCACTGGTGAGGCCGCCCCTCGATTCCTGTGTTCAGTTTTGGGCCCCTCACTCCAAAAAGGACATTGAATGACTCGAGCGTGTCCAGAGAAGGGCAACGGAGCTGGTGCAGGGTCTGGAGCACAGGTCGTACGGGGAGCGGCTGAGGGAACTGGGGGTGTTTAGTCTGGAGAAGAGGAGGCTGAGGGGAGACCTCATCGCCCTCTACAGCTCCCTGAAAGGAGGGTGCAGAGAGCTGGGGATGAGGCTCTTTAACCAAGTAATTAGTGATAGGACAAGAGGGAATGGCCTCAAGTTGTGCCAGGGAAGGTTTAGACTGGGTATTAGGAAGCATTTCTTTACAGAAGGGGTTGTTAGGCGTTGGAATGGGCTGCCCAGGGAGGTGGTGGAGTCCCCACTCTGGGGGTGTTTAAGTCAGGTCGACATAGTGCTGAGGGATCTGATGTAGCTGGGAACTGTCAGTGTTAGGTTACTGGTTGGACTGGGTGATCTTCAAGGTCCTTTCCAACCTAGACGATTTGGTGATTCTGTGATTCTGTGATACTTAGAAATCCATCCACTGTAGAAAATTACTAAAATTTACAAATTCTGAGGAACAGAAGAATATTCAGAAACTGCCAAAGAATAAAGTTACAGAATACATATTTTTAAGTCAGCTATAGAGTATGATGTTCTGACTGGTTGTTTTCTGTGTGAGACTTAGTATTCAGTAATTACTAAAAGAAAAAGAACACTTTACTTTGGGATTTTCTTTCATGTTTCTATAGGCATAAAATCTTTGTCTAGAATTCTAGTTAACTTACAATAATTATTTTTTCTCTATAAATTGAAATTCTAACATAAATATTTAATATAATTTAATAATATAGTTTAATGGAAATATAAATTTGTGCTTTACATATACAACTTACAACATTATAACTATGTAACTAATTACAATATTATAACTATGGTTCTGCTCGACTAGGAAAGTGTATATGGGATGATCTACCTGCAAGAGCATCTTAAATCATCTTGTTGGTCGATGCTCTGTGCAGACACATATTACACCATACTTATCACTGATATTAGACCTGAGCAAAACAGTCGAACTGTCAGATGGGCTTGGCTCTGAATGCTTCCTGAGCAATTCAGAAGGCGAGGAAAACAGTTCCAAATCTTCGTTCCTCATACTGACATCTTCTAGTCCTGTTGCAGAGCAAATGAAGGTACCAGCCACATCACATGCTGAGGAGTGAGCCTGTTCCCTCAGTGCAGTCTGTGCAAGTCTGATCAGATGCTGTTCTTCTGGAGACCAGGAGACGGAAAATGACAGAGGAACAGATATTTCCCATTGACTGAAACTTCCTCAGTGAATCAGTATGGAGAACAACCAATTTAAATAAGATGCCATAGATAGGTAAGCTACTAAAAGTCAGTACATACCCAATTTTAGCCTTCATACTGATCCCCTTATGTCCTTTCTATTGGCTTATATGGTCATCCCATAGCCTATTTGGAAAGTCATACAACCTAAATGCTATTACATAAGGTGCAAAGCAAGTTTGAACTTGGTCTTGGTAAATACATTATTAAATTGTCAGGAAAAATGCCACTGCTTAGCCAAGTATCACTATACTTTTTAAAGATCCTTTTTTAAGCTTTTTGTTATTCATTCTCCTATTATCCTATTTCTCTTTATCTGGATTTCACAGATTTTTTTTTGTCATTTCAAGAAAGCCAGAAGCAGAACAAGAAGAAAATTCACTCAAGGCTCAGGCTTGAACTCATTTTGCAGTTAGGGATTTATTTCAAGGATTTTGGATTTATCCAGCCTGACACTAAACATGTTAATGTCTTTAGCCCTTTTTCTTCCTTGTAGTGTGACAAAAAGAAATCCTCCCCCACAATAAAAACTCTGAGGTATTCCAAGTTGCTGCTATGTTTACCAAGAGCTCTGCTCTGTGACTTACTTTTTGGCCAACAAAATCCTATTTGTTTTTCTTCTTTGTGAGTTTAATAACCTTTATAAGTGAAGGGTTTAGTTGCCTCAGTTAATTCCCAGGTAGTCAATGGTTTCTGTTCTGGGAATTAAGCTTCCAAAGTGGTTCACTGGAAATATGTGGCATGATCTGGAGGTTACCAAAGGCCTCTTCACTAGCTGTGGGTTAAATACTATTTGAAGCTTTAGATTAAGGTTCTGAACTAACCTAAAGAGTATATTTACTGTAATGCAGAATCGAATATTTGTTTGCTAAGTTTTTTATGCCAATTTTCCTATTTGTTAAAAACTAATTAGAGAACCAATTATTTTCCCAGATATTCCAGGATAAACTGACCTTAGAGGAATCAAACTGCGATCAATAACTGAGACAAGAATTGGCTCTTGTTCTTCACTCTGAATATATTCCTGTTGGTAAATATGTGACTTTGCAGGATTTTTTGGTAGTGCTTTAGTATAGTTAAGTCCTTTGACTAACAATGGAAGGGGACTCACTAGTTATGAATAGCGTTAGGGTGTATTTTCCTAATACAATTAGCAAAAGCAAGTTCAAACAAGATCTGACTAACCAGTCTAGAAAGCGTGTAGATGAATGCTTGATGAAATCGGGAACCCCCTGCATGTTGTGAAGCACATCTGTAGAAGGTATTACAAATGGAGCAGTTCCTAGGAGATGTAGCTCTGTTATCTGTGTTTACGGAATGCCAGTAAATGTCAGCAATCTTTCTCCCAAAGAGATCTGGTGAGAATCAATTTTTCTACCCCCAAAGTGCAGTTGCATTTTTTTTTTTAATGAATAAAATAAAATTATGATCTTGCAGCAACTTGTAAGACAATTTTTAAGAGATTTGCAAGCTTTATCATCCTTCCTTGTTCTACTCATGCTATATATTGATGGTCAAGACATTTGTTTGCCTGTGGAAGAGTCTGGCCCTCAGTTTTTCAGACTCAAGTCAGGAATTTGAATCCAAATGCTCTGACAGCCTGGAGTTGCTGCAGTTGTTAATTGCAAATACTAGCTATTCAATTAGATAGGCTTTTGAATCCTCTTTTTTCCTGAGCACTGTAACCATAAACTTCTAAAATCAGTCTCTAGTCTCTAATGCTGTCCAAATGAGAATTACCCAAATTGTGATACTCCAACAGAAAGACTTACCAAGTCATGATAGCCCCGCTATTGCAGTTCCACCTTGTCTTAAGAAGATCCCACGTGAAGCCCAGGTGAATTTATCACTTGAGATACTTTTCAGTACAAAACTAATAAATTTCACTCATGTTCTTTTCAACACATATGCATTCTGCTATTCCATTTATATATACAGAGATGCACAGGGAATTTGTGTGTTATCAGCACATGAGAAAACACTTCCTCTTCTTAGCACAGATTTCCTTTTCCTGAGGGTAAGCTTTGAAATTTAATTTTCTTTCCAAAGTCTTCTTTCACAGAGGACCAGTATGCATTTGGAATGGTGTAGGTTTGGATAGAAAGCAACAGACTGCAATTTAAAATTTACAGATGAGGTCTCATTTTGAAAAAGGAAAAATAAGAGACAATGAAAAAAGGAGAAACTGTAGAGAAGCCATGGACTATTAATAGTTATACAGAAGCAATAGTCAATATATAGAGGGCTCAGATGCACCAGTTTTCCAATATATTTAGGATGTCAGAAATATTTAAGATATTAATGAAGCAATAAAGTAATTTTGAAGTCATGAATTTCCTGGCAGCTAATGACTGGACATTGGATCTGAAACCCCATGAAAGGGCTCATTGCTCCACCTCTCCTGTCATTACCTGCCAAAAAGGGGTTAAAATTATTTTAAATCACAGATTTCTAAAATTATAGAGCGAAGAAATTACTTTTAAATATTTTGCATTTATTAGCAAACTAAAATTGTGTTCTTTCAGTCAAAGCTCTGGACTGCATCATTTCCTTATATTATTCTGTGGAAGAAAAGGCATCATGCTTCTGTCAGTGAAATTCCCTGAACCAGTTCCTCCAAGATTTTAATAGCATCTGATTTACTGTATTTAGTGATCCTCTGTAGGAAGAAATGGATGAAGTGCTTTATAGTTTTAACTTAGCTCCACTTCTCTTTGCCTGTAAAGCCATAATCCCTTTTTATCTAGGGACACACACCAACAAACCCACCACAGTTCAGAATAGATTTTTCCACACAAATTAAATCTCTCAGAACTGTCTAAAAGACTGTAAATGAAGATGATTTTGTACTGTGAAGCAGAGGGCCATATCCATAGCACATGTAAATCAGCATAGCACTACTAACTTAATTAAAAATCAGTAGAACTTTCCTCATTTGTTTTAAATGAGGGTCTGACACAAGGCTTTCTGTGAAGAACTGATGGTTTTCCTGTGCATGTTTAAGTTTGGAAGAATGCTTCCTGATAAAAGTAGTGATTTTTCCAACAAAATATTTACTCGTAGCAGCTATTAGTACGCAACTAAAATGGGCCAAGAACAAATCTGTGGTGGCAAGTTGCACAAAATTTCCTCCCTTCACTCAGAAGCTTCATGCATCCAACCTGTTGGGAACAGTCCATTGCCCAGACTGTTCCATGAATGCTGCCTGTACACTGTGTAGGGCTGTCCTGGTTGGCACGGATCAAAGCTGTTTTAGGGACCATGCTAAGAATTCAGTAGTATGAGTGACTGCATACGAGAGTTTCTGTCTGTGACCTGTTTAGAAGTTCCTTTCAAATCTTGTGTTTTTCACTGTTGTGTAAGAATTCAGTTTAATTGGAGAAGTGATTTTTTAGCCTTAAAATTGATACTTGTGTAAACTGGGTCCTGCTTATTTCAGAATTGTTCCAGAAGTTTGGTGTCACTTGCACTGAATTTCTTTGAAGGTTGAGATACTTAAAGTTATATTAAATTGATGACTCTGATAAATAAATTCTGTATTGTCTTCTGATAAAAGTTTTCTTCTGGAACATCAAGAATATCACAGAATCATCTAGGTTGGAAAAGACCTTGAAGATCTTCCAGTCCAACCAGTCCAACCTAACAGTGACTGTTCTTAACTACACCATATCCCTCAGTGCTATGTCACAGAATCACAGAATCACAGAATCATGCAGGTTGGAAAGGACCTTGAAGATAATCCAGTCCAATCATTAACAAGACACTGACAGTTCCCAACTACACCAGATCCCTCAGCACTATGTAGACCCAACTCTTAAACACCTCCAGGGATGGGGACTCCACCACCTCCTGGTCAGCCCATTCCAACGCCTAACAACCTGTTCTGGAAAGAAATGCTTCCTAATATCCAGTCTAAACCTTCCCTGGCACAACTTGAGGCCATTACCTCTTGTCCTATCACTTGTTACTTGGTTAAAGAGACTCATCCCCAGCTCTCTGCACCCTCCTTTCAGGGAGCTGTAGAGGGCGATGAGGTCTCCCCTCAGCCTCCTCTTCTCCAGACTAAACACCCCCAGTTCCCTCAGCCGCTCCCCGTACGACCTGTGCTCCAGACCCTGCACCAGCTCCGTTGCCCTTCTCTGGACACGCTCGAGTCATTCAATGTCCTTTTTGGAGTGAGGGGCCCAAAACTGAACACAGGAATCGAGGTGCAGCCTCACCAGTGCCGAGTCCAGGGGTCAGATCCCTTCCCTGTCCCTGCTGGCCACGCTATTGCTGACACAAGCCAGGATGCCATTGGCCTTCTTGGCCCCCTGGGCACACTGCTGGCTCCTGTTCAGGCGGCTGTCAATCAACACCCCCAGGTCCCTCTCTGACTGGCAGCTCTCCAGCCACTCCTCCCCAAGCCTGTAGCGCTGCTGGGGGTTGTTGTGGCCCAAGGGCAGCCCCCGGCATTTGGCCTTATGGAAACTCCCCCAGTTGGCCTCAGCCCATGGCTCCAGCCTGTCCAGGTCTCTCTGCAGAGCCTCCCCACCCTCGAGCAGATCAACACTCACCCAACTGGGTGTCATCTGCAAACTGACTGAGGGTGCACTCGATCCCCTTGTCTAGATCATCCATAAAGATGTTAAACAGGAGTGGCCCCAAAACCGAGCCCTGGGGGACACCACTCGTGACCGGCCGCCAACTGGATTTAACTCCATTCACCACAACTCTTTGGGCCTGGCCATCCAGACAGTTTTTTCCCAGCAGAGTGTGTGCTCATCCAAGCCATGAGCAGCCAGTTTCGCCAGGAGAATGCTGTGGGAAATGGTGTCAAAGGCCGTACTAAAGTCAAGGTAAACAACATCCACAGCCTTTCCCTCATCCAATAAGCAGGTCGCCCTGTTGTAGAAGGAGATCAGGTTTGTCAGGCAGGACCTGCCTTTCATAAACCCATGCTGACTGAGCCTGAGCATCTGGTTGTCCCGCATGTGTTGTGTGATGACACTCAGGATGAGCTGCTCCATCAGCTTCCCGGGGAGTGATGTCAAGCTGACAGACCTGTAGTTTCCCGGATCATCCTTCTGACCCTTCTTATAGATGGGTGTCACACTGGCCTGCTTCCAACATGTCGGGACCTCCCCGGTCAGCCAGGACTGCTGGTAAATGATGGAAAGTGGCTTGGTGAGCACCCCAGCCAGCTCCTTTAGCACCCTTGGGTGTACCCCATCTGGTCCCATAGACTTGTGTGTGTCTGTGTGATGCAGCAGGTCACTGACTGTCTCCTCCTGGATTGCAGGGGGGTCGTTCTCTCTGTCTCTGTCTTCTGGCTGAGGAGGCTGGATTCCCTCAGTACAACTGGTCTTGTTATGAAAGACTGAGGCAAAGAAGGCATTAAGCACCTCAGCCTTCTCCTCATCACTTGTTACCATGTTTCTTCCTGTGTCTAACAGGGGATGGAGGCTCTTTCTAGTCTTTCTTTAGCTGTATAGAAACATTTCTTTTTGTCTTTGATTGCTGAAGCCAGATTAATTTCCAGCTGGGCGTTAGCCCTCCTGATTTCCACCCTGCATAGCCTCACAGCATCTTTGTAATCACTGTGACTGGCTAGACCCTTCTTCCAAAGGCCGTAAACTCTCCTTTTCTCCCTGAGTTGCAGCCAAAGCTCCCTGTTCAGCCAGGGTGGTCTTCTCTGCTGCCAGCTTCTCTTACAGCACCTGGGGACAGCCTGATCCTGTGCCATTAAGACTTCCTTCTTAAAGAGCACCCAGCCTTCCTGGACCCCTATACCCTTCAGGACCATCTCCCAAGGGATCCTGTCAAGCAGGTGCCTAAACAAGACAAAGTCAGTCCTTTGGAAGTCCAGGATGTTAGTTCTCCTGACTCCTCTCCCGGCCTATCTAAGAATACAGAACTCTATTATTTCGTGATTGCTGTGCCCTAGTCAACCTCCAACCACCACATCATCCCCCAGTCCTTCTCTGTTCACAAAGAGGAGATCCAGCAGGGCATCTGATATTACAGGAACAAGATCTTACAGCAACTACACAAACTGAGTTTATAATTGTTCTTAAGGTCTTTGTTTCTCACTGTGTATCCCCACTATTATATTATTAATGAAACTCTTCAGTTAACACAATAGTTACAGTCAAAATTCTATGCAAAAATGGTGAGCCTTATCTGTACACTGAAAACCCCCAGGAGAAACCAAATCATGAAAAATAATATGTTTTACAAATATAAATTTCCATTTTTATATGGCCTGAATATCTGCAGTTTCTGTAAACACTGCAAATTATGTATCAAGAGAAATAATCAGCCACAACAAATGTATCTATTTCAATCCAGAAAACCAACAAGCAAACAGACGTTGTCAGGTTACGCTGTACTGTAGTTGTTCTTCATGTTAAATATGTCACAATTCTCTACAAGAGCCTGAATTTACCTGCTCAGAGTAGACTACTAAACAAGTTGCTAGATTCTATTTTTCTGAAATAATTTATTTTTGGACATGATGCTGTAATAAAATGCGCTGTCCTTCCATAGGCATGCAATCAACTGCATATAGGTAACTGCAATCCAACCTATGTGGCAGCCAGTCTGTCAGAAATTTGCTCCCTTTGATGCAAACCTTTACAGCACAGGTGAGTGTATTTTTGATTTTGCGTGTTTGCTTGTGTTATTTTGTTACTGTTTTCCTTTAGCTGAATACTTATAAGCTGTTGGTAGTTTCATTATTAATTGGCTGATACTGAAATCGTTGCTTTCGTTAAGAGAGTATGGAGCTTGAATCCCACTGTTGTTTCAGCTTCCATTAGCAACTATTTAATTGAAGCTTTTCATACAGTGTCTGTTACTCTGACTGGGATTGTGCACAGTTTTTGAAAGAAAATTGCAGCTGTTGCATTTGGGCCATTTACATCTGTAGAAGAAGTCACCTACTTATTAGTGAAATGGTGACACCTGAGGGCTTGTGGACTTTGATTTTTTAATTTATTTATGTATTTACATATGTAGAAAAATCCAGTTCAGTATGCCAAGAGCTACAGCTACAAATAATTGGGGGTCTTCTAATATCTCTGTCAGACTAGTCTCAAATTTAGATCTTGAGCACATAACCACCATATAAGTAAATGTTATCATGTTTCCTGAGGTGCTGAAAGTCTATTCCTGCAGTAAAATTTCCACAAACCAATCAATTCTTGATAGTGGGGAGTAGATTGGTATTTCTCTTCTACTGGTACCCACTAAGAGTCATAATCTAAGGGACCTCTTTTAGCTTTTCTGCACAGTCCGACCCAGCAATTATTTGCTGCATGCTGAGCAGACTATGTTCTGTATACAGCATAGCCAAAAAGGCTGATGAGAGCACTCACTATGGATGCAGATGATATAAGTCCAGTTCTTTTTCACCCTTCCCCTCACCGTGAGAGCATCTGAATGCATCTTTTCCAGGAAAGTGATTTAACCATGAGAGTCTCTTTGGGTTTGCCTCTCACATTTCTTAAGTCCATTTCACTTGTACAACAAAACTTTTAACAGAGAGAGGAATACTTCTTTCACCTGGGTAAGCTCTAAAATCTAGAGTCAATCTCTTCTCTGTCTATGTTTTAAGAATTCATTCAGGGAGAAATATTTTCCACAGGGCAAGGAAGGCATATATCCATACTGTTTTCTTTTAGGTGAGTAGAGATATCAGCTCAGATTTATGCGACCAATGAGGGATTTGAATGCATGTCAGGTGAAAAGGACCTATTGGATTACTTAGTTGTTGGATAAAGAGAGAAGAATTCAATACCACAGAGGACCTCTGAGAAATGGCTCGCTTAGATATAGTTTTAGCATTTTGTCATTACTAGGATGTGAGTCCTGAGTGGCTGCTCTCTTCAGTCCTTATCAATGCAATAAGAGTATAGTTAGTGATTGCCTATGAAACACCATGAATGAAAGGGAAAGAGGTTCTTAGCTTACTGATGGTTGCTGTGTGTAAGCATTGCTCTAAAACTGTGAAGAGATTTATCTGTTGCTAATGTATTCAGAGAGTTCATTTAACGCTGTCAGGCACGGATACCAATTCTCCCATTTATTCTTTTGTGAATTCCTCAGCATCCCTATGTTACAATCATTGGGATATTACTTCAGGTTTTTATAATGCAGGTGTCATAGAAGTAACACTTTCCCAAATAAATGTCTATTTTAATGGATTGTTGGATGTTACATATATATTAAAGCTAAAATAAGAAAGATGTTATTGTACTTTTACTTGGCTCTTGCTAAATCTTTGATTGTATACATAATTCCTAGGTTACCTGCTCCTTTCCTACTCATATGGTAATTGCAGTCTTTTGGAAAAATTACAAAGTTGCGTCCAATAATCCATTACAGTCTCTGCACCTCAGACTGCGTTAGAAAAAAAGTCAATAATTTACTGATGAGACCTATTTAACCTTTAACAATATTTCTTTATTGGAACAGTATCTCCCAAACTTGGTTAGGATTGTTACAAAAGGGAGTTTTCCAAGGCCTGCTGACACTTCCTGACTTGAGAATACTATGATGACTGATACAAGAATTACTGTTTAATTAGCTGTGGAAAGCATATGTCTTTGCCCATGAGTAATTATTGTTCTGTAAATATAAAATAGAAGGCATTTTGCCATTGCCATAAAGCATTGTTTTGTTTTGATGGCACAATGCAGATTGCATGTGTATGCAGGAGCTGTGCAGCTCCATGTCAGCCCTTGTCCCATGAGATGTGACTTGGACAGGAGAGGGTGAAGAGTGTTACTTTTTTAGAACTCTTGCTGAATCTGCTCTCACTCCAATAAGTGACAACTAATTCCAGGTTATCAGCCTCTTTGATTTTTTTTTTTTAATTTCCCAGATGCAGATATCAGAGTGCACCTGGAGTTGCTGATTAAGTCTTTTTTGTACTTAGCCTAAGCAGCGCTCCTCCTCATGTGGATTGTTTAAACAGCCTCTGCCAAGTCATCTTTTATCATGGAAGTGAATCAGGCTTCTTCAGTATTCCTGGAACCTAAGGGTATACTGTCAATCTTTGTTTCTTAATAAAATTATCTGAAAAAAAAAATCTACTTACATTTGGAATTAAACAAAATGTCTAACATGGTTTCTTTAAGCCCATGTAGTATAATACCTGATGTTCACAGCTGTCTTGCTTTGAATAAAGATTGTCCTGAATTAGTTTTTTAGGTTTTTTTCCTACTCTATTTTTCTGGTAATACCGCAGCAGTTGCCCCATGTTAGTTTTAAAGGTAAGATACAGCCTGTTCTGTTCAACTTTGAATACTACTGTATGTTTTTTCTGCATATTTTGTCCCTTGGAATGTGAAATCATCATGTGATATACACTGATGACAGTAATGTTATCTTTAGATTCTCTGGGCAGCCTCTATGTTGTTAGGAAAGTGACTATTTTATGATACTTCCATCAATCCTCCTCTCTGCTGTTCATAGTTTCCAGCTGTTGCTTGTTATCGTGCTCCTTCCTCTACAGCTCTGCTGTTCTCTCTTGTGAAGAGATATTGTTCTCCCCCGTCCCTACTTGTGCACTATTTTTGTATTATGAGAATGCTCCTGTTACTATTTCAGTTCTTTTTGGCTCATCTTCCATGTATCAAAGCCACCTGATACAGGACTACTGCTTTGGGAATGATAAGTAACATTGCCTGTGCTTGAATCTGAGTGACAGTGTCTCTTCCCAGAAGCAGGATCCTTTTATATTCTTTCTCTTATTAGTTCTCTTTTGAAGTCCACATATCTGCAGCATTCAGCAAACCAAACCTATCAGCTTCTGTCATGAAAGCTTCATTCTTTATCTTTATTCCTAGTATTTTATTATTACAAGCAATCCTGTCTGAAACTGTTTCTTGAAGGAAGTCACAAGGAATAATAGACTACTCCAGATTTTGAGACATGCTTTCCTGTCACTGTACTTAGATATAATAATTAGGAAGGAGCCAACAGTTGCACCTTAAAAAATAGTTTGATTAGAGTTTGATTCTTGATTAAATTAGAAGATCTCCGTCAGCAGCTTACAACTGTTATTTGTTCAACTTGAATTGGTTTCCCTGAGCCAATAATGAGAATCTATTCCCTAGAAAGTTTGTCCAAGTTATTACGCTTTTATAATTAGTCTAATAATGTATAATATAATATTAACTAAGACAGCAGGTCGTGATATTTATTGTATAAAACTGTTTTCTCAGAATGAAATATATTGAAATCCAGGAGGGAAGATAACTGGTTCTGTCACTAGCCCATGAGAACAGCATGTTATATAGCCCTGTGATGGTATGTAATCATATTATCTTATTTAAATCTGGATCATTAACAGTCTTCGTGTTTTTATCAACTTCAGAAGATAACCAGCTTATGCCGGTATAGAATGTTGTATCTATAGAAAAATTGCTCTCCTGTGAATTAACAAAACTGGTTAATATCCAATATTGTAGCTTCTAAAAACAACCACACTATCTAGTTAACTATTTTAACCAAGAGTAATTATGTAACTGAAAAATAAGTTTAAGAAAAACTGACTTCTAATAAAAAAATTATTTTTAAGAAAAATGTTGTCTGATTTTTTATGAAAAGTGGAAAAGGAAAGATTAAAATGTCTGTATTGTATAAAATTTGGTGAATGCTATATATCAAAGCTTTTTTTTTTTTTTTTTAGTTTTTAACATATACATTTTTCACAACAATTATTTTTCTAGGTTTTTTTACTGCTCCTGAATTAAAAAATAAAACCAAACTCATGATATTTTTCAGAAATTATTTTTCCCAGAATATTTTTGAATGGATCTAACACACAAAATTTTAAATGTTATCTTTTTCAAGAAACAGCAGTCCAACCCAGTATCTACTGAACTCAAAGGCAGTATATGATTCATAGAACAATATAATAACTTAAGATGGAAGGAAACTCTGAAGGTAATCTAGTCAAGGTTTTCCACAAAGTGGGACTAACTTCAAAGTTAATTGTTGGAGAACGGCTTGCAGAGAGCAAGGCCATAGCTCCCTGCAGAAGTCAGTCACAGCCACCTGAGGTAAACAGAGGAAAAAAAACAGGGTACAGTTATACTAATAAGGAAGGAGATTCAAGGCTCAGTGGTGCTAACAGGGGCTGTTGTGAGAACAAAGAGATAAGTTGGGGCGCATTATGACCTTGGGGGGGAAACAGGTTCAAAGCAAGAAAGATGTTTATGCACACCAGAAATGCCACAAGGGGCTGGGATATTATAATGTGACCTTTTAGATGTACCCAATGGCTGAGATATTATAATGTAGCTTTTTACATCTATCCAATAGATTTGTGAGTAGTATGCATGATTATTGTAGAATGCTTATATAAGGTGTGATTTCTTTCAATAAAGTCGTAGCTCGCTCTATCATTCACATTGAATCGGCTGCTTGCTTCCTCCGCCCACCGCAGTTAATTACTTTTTACAGGATACAGCTTTTTCAGGAAGACTTTATACGGGATCTAGCCATCTGTGATTGATAGTCTTTATACCTAAGTGTGCTTTTTACGTATATGTTGGGGCTCAAAATATGACTTGCCACCAGGAAGGAATGTGAAGTTAGCTCTCACAGTTTGGGATGGCTTCCCGCATGGCTTTCCAGTTGTGAAAGAGCTTTCAGTTTGAATCTCTGAGAAAATAAAGTTTTGCTGTTCAGTATCCAAATAATTACTAATTTAAATCCAGGTCACAATCCTAAAAATACTAATTTAAATACTTTTTATTTGGGTTCAGTTATGAAGTCTGTTGCACTTGTATGGATGAAAATCATAAATACAAGATGTCCTCTACATTTTGTGCCAATTCTTCATTTTGTCAGATTCTGCATGTGAGCATGATGGAGTGATACAGAGAAATGATTACTTGTTTTGAGATTTATTTACTTATAGAAAACTGATTAGCAACTTTCTTATCGCAAGTTATAGTATTACTTATAGTAATTTTTAATATCGCTAAGAATCCTGCTTTCCTAGACTGTTCTGTGGAATTTTACCAAGGACTACTGTGTTCATCAAACCAAAGCAGTTCACTGTGAAAATCTACCAAGAACTATAATGTTCAGCAAAATATTATGCTTTTGTCCTTGGGCAACAGGTGTGTTCTAACTAGTTGAAAAAGATAGCCATATATGGATGGTAGAAGTTCTATTGGTTCTCTTAGATAAGATGGAAGGAATAATCCATCTGAAAAACACTCTTGTTATTCAGGAAATTGGCCAAGGGAATCTGCGCATGCTCCAGGGAAAAAAGAAGATGAGAAAGACTATGAGTCTTCCTCCCAAAGACCCCCGAAGATGACCACCAGGAGGCAATGCGCAGGTGCAAAGAGAACAACTGCTGACATCAGCCTTTCAAACTAACCCAGCCTTACTCATGTATATGTATGTTTGTGTTAGGTAATCCAATGAATATGTATATCCACACTTTATAAGTTTTTGTTAAAATGTGTGGTGGGTGTGCAAGCTTTGTGGAGAGATTCCCTTGCACCCCAGCACCGGAGTAAACATACCTGCTGTATAACTGTTTGTGTTGTAGAGTCTTTTTCCACAAATCAGGAGAAGGGAAGAAGTGACAGCTGTTGACCAACTTTGTCATTCATGAGGGTTGAATGAGAAGAAGGAGTATGGAGTCGGGGTTTTGTGACTGTCGGGAATACTGTCACAAAAGTCTGGAGGGAGTACAACCTGGTTCAGACTTGTGTGGTGAGAGAGCAACAAACAAGGCTGCTACTATGCAGTCTTACTCTGACTTCTGTGGGTTCACCACCCCACCCCACCCCCCCCAGCAATCAACTTTTGCATGCACTCTTATGACTCAAGCCCTAAAATAAACAAATATGTTCTTGAATGTACCATACAGAAAGGGAAGAATTTAAAGGTGTCATAGTCTGCACCTTAATTAGATATTCTCTGATGAATCTCGATTAAAGATGCAGAAGCAGGTCCCAGAGTATGTCCTATTGATGTTGCAGTTCCTTGACTCATGTATTCTAAAAGCCACAAATAGCACTTGATTTGTCAGTTGATATATATATGATTGAGGGTTTAGTTTGAGGTTCTGAGAACCTATTCATTGTCATGTGTCCAAAGCTACCTTTATACACATAAGGATTTTATTTATCATCTCATAACTTTTAAAGTTAGCAAATATATACATAATGTTAGAGATATTCAAAAAGGATAAAAATCCACACACAGTGCCTTATTTAGTTTGTCAAAAACACTTGAACTGTTGAGTGAATCTAATGGAATTCAATGAATCTGCAAGTACATTTTCAGTCCATTGAAAATGACTGTCAATTAAAGGTTATTTCATAAAACTGAATCATGAGCAAAGATTACTTGGTGAAGATGAAAAAGGCAAAGAAATAAACCAAACAAGCAAATGAGTATTATCAAATTAGAAATTAGAACAATGGAAAAATGTTAATGGAGATTTGTGCCAATAATATTTTTTTTTAATAGGATCTGTCTTTGACCATCATTGACATATTTATCTGTTTACTATGTATAAAAATTATCTATTGACTTCAATAGCACTATTTCAACTCCTGCAGGCAACCATTTCCACTTGAAAAAATCATAAATATAATTCATGAGTATTTTCTTACACAAATGGAATTGCAAAGCTATTCCTTTGCCCATATATTTTTCACCCAAATTCCATTTTAAAGTTTTATTTTGAGCTAGCATGAAATTATGAATAAATTTAGTAATTCATGAGCTTATATGGTTATATTTTCTTTTACATATATTCTTATGAAAGAAGCATTTGTCTTCTTGTTAATTTTTCTTCATTTTTGGCCTTCCAATAACATGTGAAGCACGAGATACTTGTAAGATTACAATTATTTACTCAGTAAGAAAGGTTATTTATCAAGTAATTACTGAAAAAATAAAGCCATTAGTGTCTTTCTTCTCTTTGTTTTCTCTTGCTGTTTTTCCTGTTCCAATTCTCTAGCTAGAACTGAGTTGCTGTCTAGCCAACTCTAATGCCATCACATCTTTCCTTTGCACAGATAGTAAGATTAACTACCTATATACAAAACTCCAAATTATAAATGCAAATGGGGTTTGACAAAAGGAAATGGTTTGAGATTAAGCTCATATCTTTTAATATTAATCTAGATAATTTTCAAGATAAAGGAAATAAAGTAAGTTTACATACTGTACTTAATATATAGCAAGTCTATTACATAGGAATTGTACTGAAATTTACACACTTACATATCAGCAAGCCATCTGAAATGATATCACTTGGAAAACTATTAGTTTAGCAGCAGAATGTAAATATTAATGGAGGAAAGGTAAAGTGATCATTTACTGGCTAAAGAGTAGACACAGACAGAGCAAGCTAGAGGGATACTGCAGGTGGAAGTTTCTAGTATTAGTCGTGTAAACAGTGTCAGTTACTATTTCCATTTGTGACCTTGGAAAAATAAGTAGAAGTACAAAATTCACTAATAACAATGATATTGAGAAGACATTGTCAATAGAGGGAATGCTGTATCCAGAAAAAAATATATATATATATATAAAAAAAAAAAAAAAAAAAAGAGGATGGATGGCTATAATAAAAACATTTTCAAATGTAACAGCATAACATGCATGACACTATACATCTAATAAAAATAACCAACAACTGTTCTGTTACAAGGAAGAAACCTCATTTTGATATAAATAAACAACAAGCTGAAATAACCAAGCAGAAAGCTGAATTCTGTCCTGAAAAGAATGATAACTCCATCTTCCCCTTTCCTTCCAAGTACCCCATTAGACTACATCTCACTGCTCCTTGGCATAGGACCCCATGACTCATGACCAGAGGTCCCTGTGTAGAGGTTATACAGGATATCCTTAGAGATGATAGCCTGGTTATAGTCAGACACTCCTAGAAGATGAAAAGTATCAAATTTCCTTCATCTATGGAAGACCTAGAACATTGTACTTTTCCTGTGTGTTTTGAGTGTCTGCACAAAAATAGACAGCTTTGCTGGCCTTTTAAAACACTCAATCTTGCTCAGTGTATATAGAGGAGACCAAGTTCTGGACTCTGATTCCAAACTTGGAAGACAAGTATTGTTCAGCATTTCCTACTAGCCAGCAGTGTCTGTCTCCCTGATCAAATATGAGTTTTCATGAAATTAATTTACATTCACTTTTAATGTGCCAGCATATGTTTCAGATA